CGACACATTTTTGGGATCACCTGGCAGGACAAAGTTCCAAATAGAGTAGTCCTAGAACGAGCTGGAATTTTCAGCATGTATACAATATTGAAACAGCGCCGTCTACGTTGGCTTGGGCACGTCGTGAGAATGGCTGATGGTCGGATTCCAAAAGATCTCCTGTATGGAGAATTAGTGAAGGGAAGCCGCCCCCGAGGGAGACCACAGCTGCGTTACAAGGACATCTGCAAGCGGGATCTGAAGGCCTTAGGAATGGACCTCAACAGATGGGAAACCTTGACGTCTGAGCGTTCAGCCTGGAGGCAGGCGGTGCATCATGGCCTCTCCCAATTTGAAGAGACACTTGTACAGCAGACCGAGGCAAAGAGGCAGTCCCGAAACAAGCAAAACCAGGGAGCTGGACAGGGGACAGATTGGATTTGTCTCCAGTGTGGAAGGGATTGTCACTCTCGAATTGGCCTTCTCAGCCACACAAGACACTGTTCCAAGACCTCCATACAGAGCACGATACCATAGTCTCTCGAGACTGAAGGATGCCTACAATAAAACTGGTAAATTTCAAAAAAATATAGATAGATACCAATAAAATTACATTGAGGCATCAGTAGGTTAAATGTTTTTGAAAATACTGCCATTCTGAGTTGCCAGACACATTTCACTGCCTGCAGAGGGAGGACTCATAATGGATGCTGCGTTTATCTACTGCTCTATTTCTGCACAACAAGAGGGAGGGAGATGGAGGATGGAGGAGGAAGGTGGGAGGAGGAAGGTGGATACATAGAATATGTAGAAGGAGGACGATGGGAGTGTCCTGAAAGCGGAAATGTAGTGTCCTTAACTTGGGTCATTGGACCACCCACAGAGGCTGCAGGCACCAGTAGATGAGCGGGGGAGTCTGGAGAACACCTGCACTGCAGGGGAGAACATGTAATTTTGACACTGACTCGAGTATAAGCCAAGGGGGTGCTTTTTCAGCAAAAAAAGTGCTGAAAAACTAGGTTTATACTCGAGTATATATAGTAATTACAATGATAAAAACATATAGTAAACAGTTATCATTCCATAAGACATTAACAACAATCAAAATAACTACAATAACTCTATAATAATTGAAGTACAGTATATACTTTAACAAACCCTTTTTGGTAAGAAATTAGCACAAAATAACTCACAAAGAAGCTTCAAACTCAGATCAATCCTACATAAACATTGGAGAAGAGATCAGAAAGGTTGATCACTATTGCCCAAACAGGCATTTTTTAAACTACAACAGTCACACAACATGTCGAAAAAGTAAACTGATGGATAACAATCTGCTGCAAGACAGGCCAACAGGGAGAATGACAGAACATCAGTGGTAATCACCTACAGCTCCCAACTAAGGCAAACTGAGACACAGCATATCACTGCACCTCATAATATTTTCCTCTCCCAGGATTTCTGAAGACCAGCACATAGTTCCCTATAGATGACTTCCGAAACTTAAACAAGCACTGATACACAACAGATAACACAACATGGGGACAGGGGCAGGAATCAAGACCCTGTCGTAAACCTAGAAGCCAACGGTGCTCCATATCTACAATGGCAGCACCATAAATACCCCTATCAATGTCAGCCACAACAACAGGGGTTGATTTACATGTTTCCACTCTAATGTGATTTAGAACTGTCTTTGTGCTTTCTACATAGGACAAACAGGACAATCTTTGCACAAAGGAATGAACTGACATAAATCTGACATCAGGAAGGGCCACATAGAGAAGCCAGTTTTAGAACACGCCAAGGTCCCATGACACTGTGTTATGGGTCTCAGAATGACTATTTAAGAAAAAATTGAATTATAAAGACTCTAGAAAAGAGGCAGCATAAATTAGCTACTTTAACAAGCTCCAGCACATCTCTAAGAGCTTCGGCAAATATCAAGCCTTCTTAGCATACTACACACATAAAATAGTTGCCTCCCTTGACAGCCTCTAAAGTTAACTCTTCCTGGCCAACACCTATTGTCCTGGCCAGGACCTGCTAATTGAAGTAATTCACAGCTTGACAGTCCCATTGCTGAGTTAAGAAACCACTTTGACTATAACCTACAGTATATCTGCACCAGGTCATGGGGATATCTATGAATATATTAGTCATGTATTGGTACACCAGTGTTTGAGCAAGTGGACTTTTGATTCATGAAAGCCCATACTGGAATACAATTGTTAGCCTTTGAAGTGTTACAATATCTTAGTTTCTTTTCTTTTCCCTTTACTTTCCCCAACATACTGATCACATAAACAATGGAGCATACTCTTTTCCTGTCAGGTAAGTCTGAATCTTTTGACAGTTTTTTAGGGGGGGGGGGAAACACTTAATATAGAAGCAAAAAATTCACAACACTAACCGATGGTGAGTTTTTTAATTTAATTTCCAATCTTTGAAATTACCCAGTTTTTTCTTCTAATTTGTCTGGAGTCCCGCAAGATTTGAAAGTTTGCTTGTTTAAAAGATTTAATGATCTAAGAAAGATACCGACCATCTCTGTTTGTCTACGATGAACACAAGGCTTTCCCCCTTTTTACTGAACTATAAAAGATATCCTGAATAGGACAATACCAAAACCAAGCAAGGACATTAACCATTGTCCAAGAAGGATGCACTAACTGAGAACTGTATCTTTCTCCAGTTACTGGGCAATACTCTTAATGTGGCTGTAACTGACTGTGTTTTGCCTAGTGGGTAAACTAATTTTATCTCAGAGTTTTCCGATTTGGGTTTTGCTACATTTCTGCCATGTACTTTGATAGAAAGCAATATAAGGCAATGCAGGTTTTTGAGTGACTGGTAGTCCTTTGTCTACCAAGATTGGGAAAGCAATGAAATTTATGTACATTGTCTAAGGGGAAACCTAAAACTACTACAGTGGTGCCCTGCTAGACGATTACCTCGCAAAACTGTTAATTAGACAATGAGTTTTTACAATCGCTATAGCGCTTCGCAAAACAGTGTTTCCTATGGGCGATTTTCGCTGGACGATGTGTCAAACCGTGCTTCGCAAGATGGTTTTTTTTTCAGGACTGGGTTTCACAAGATGACGATTTTGACAGCTGAGTCCGCGATTCGCAAAACAGGTGTTTTCAGGACCGTTTTTCGCAAGACAGCGATTTTTACAGCTGATCTGCGCTTCGCAAAACGGTTTCTCTATGGGCGATTTTCGCAAAACAATGAGTTTTCCCCATTGGAACGCATTAAACGGATTTCAATGCATTCCAATGGGAAACCGCATTTCGCAAGACAATGTTTTCGCTAAACAGCAATTTTCGCTGAACGAAGTAACATTGTCTTGCGGGTCACCACTGTACTTCAATCTGATTTTAAATGCTTGCAGACTCTATTTTGTAACTTACTTCACACAAAACAGCCTGGTCATAACATCTGGCCATGATGATTTTTGGGAATTTCCTGTTTATTCTACACATGCATACATTCTGTAATACCATTGCTAGTGAAGAGTTCATGAGAACTCAAGTTTGCCTGTTTGCAAGATTTTAGTGGTTTAATATTATTGGTTTCAGACTGTGTAAAGGAACCACACAGCATTTTTTCTTCTTGCTATGCTGAAGTGACTACCATGATGAAGAGGAACCTGCATCCTCCTGAATTAATTAGTATATAAATTATGTTCCATGAGAAAAGTTTTAATATATGTTAAACAGCTGCAAAATGTACTTCAGTTTTCACTGCTGCCTAAATTCACCTTTTCCATTCGCCAACAAACAGAATAAAACCAACCTAAGTCAATTATAATTAGATGACAAATATTATCTGAATCCTTCCATGAGTTCTTGAAAAACATATTAATGCATCTGCATAATTTATACACAGCCTGACTTAATTATCAAGAAATGACCAATTAAACATGAACACAGCTCCCAAATATTGTGAAGCAGTAACTTGCTCAAACAAATTCCAAACTACTTTCCACTTATTTCCACGTAGACACTTTATATGTATATAAAATCAATGTGAAAACCTAAAGATATTTGCCTAGAATTATCAAAATTTCCCCATCATTTTCCCTGAATGTCACTTCTAATACTACAAAATATTTAAATGACAATCAAAAACCAGAAGAGACTTAGGAGCATAAATGGCTCATGACTAAGGCAGTTTTGGAGTGAGGCATTCCCCTTGTGTCCATCCACAAACTGCCTCTAACTAGGAGCTAAATCAAATTGTTAATCCTAATTAGAACAAACACACTGAATGAAGGAAAGTTGTTAAACAAACAGTTCTAAAAATTCCATTGGATATAACTTGAAGATTTTGCTCTTTCTCCACAATATTATTAATAATTTTAAAAAACCCATGAAAGCCTATTATGGGAGCTGGATTCTAGATTACAATTATTAATGTACTATAGGATCAGGATTCAAGGCAAATCTTCCCAATCTTTTGGTTGCATATTCAACAACAATACAATAAGACAATAATCCATTACACCACGGTAGCCCACAATAACTGGCAAATAAACGTGTGGGACCTACAAACGCCACAAATAAGGAATGGTTTAAATATTTTTAATCAAATAATGAATAAAAAAGAATTGGTTGAGTTTTTTTTAAAAAAATCTTTTTTTGTTTTAAAGAAATAAGAACAATTATACTCCCACTTTGGCTGCAATGTAGGTTCCACATTTACTAGACTTAAGTGGACTACAAACCAGCAGAGGATTTAATGTACATTCTAAATACCGGATTAGTTCCAGCAATAAAAATAAATAAATAACAGAGGATAGCAAGGAATACACTTCTAGAACTTTGTGTACTTATTGAGATACATAGTGCCAAACATTACATTTTAAAATGTGTTCAAGATTAAAGTAATAATATTAAGTGAGAGCTATTATTGATAATTTAAACACAGATTTATAATGTATGATAAAAAATAAAATTGTGGTAATAATTAGGGTCCTATTTCTTATTGCACAATATATTTCATTTAAAACTTACCCCTTTTCTGAACCCATCCTTCTTTCACAATTGTAACATCGCTCATGATGGCTCCACACTGAGCCTTCAGTTCAGAAAAAAATAATATTTTGCTTTATCACTTTTAGAATTTCACGTCTCCTTGACTTTTCAGTATCTTAAATCAACCTAGAAATAAAAAAAAAACAAAACAAACATTAACCCTTGATATGCTTTACACCCAACAGCCAGTTCCCAAAAACCTGGGTTGGGGGGAAGGTTAGGTCATCTTTCCTCAGTAGGTGATTTACAAAATTCACACCAAGAATATGATTACCTTATAAGCACATATAACAATTAACAGCTTTAAAAAAGTGTTTGAAACAAAATTAACCAGAACAGATGCTACCCCAAAGTTAACTTAGAAACCAAATTAATAACGCTTTAAATTTGTCCCCAATTTCAAAAAGAAACTATGCTCTCCACGGAAATTATTTTATAAATATTAAGGAAATTGCTACATAATAAAGCATGATTATATTGCTAGTCTTTGTTCATCTAGAAAATTTGTGCCTTGTGCAAATACAGACTCTGACAACTGCAAGAAAACGACATTGATTAATCAATGAGATTAATAATTTTAAAATAGTTTGAATTTTTTAAAGAATACCTCCAATTAATTGGGCAACACCTTTTTAAGAAAGAGAAAATTACCAACTTTAATACTCTTAACTATAAAACCTGTGGATGATAACTCTTTCTATATTGAATTATTTACAATATTTCTCCCCTCCTTTCTCTGTAAAAGGACCTTTAAAGAAAAGGCCCAGGACACTCTTATGGATCTCCAAATGGCTATTTAAGAAAAATGGATTTTTTTTCTTAAATACTACTTCTTTTTTAATGCTTCTTTTTCTTAAATAGTTTGTCAACACTACTTCTAAGATGGTACCTCCACCTTTTCCTTCAAAACTATTTCTTATTCAGAAACCGATCTATGCAAATTTGCTTACTCATATGTAACTTGATTGACTGGTTTTTATATTTGGAAACAAATGTAATTCTGGCTCACAGATCAGCCCTTGGAACTCCGATCATGTGCGTAATACAGTGCAGAATGCTATTTTGTTATTTTGATCATGAGGAAAATACATCAATATCAGAGAAGCAATACTGCTCCTTCAAACTAAGCATACTCATGAAAAGACAAACGGAACATTAAAATCTTACTCTTCGCACAAATCTAGGTATGCTTTTCCTCTTCAACCAAAAACAAGTGATCTGATGGGTCACTGGAGTGGTATGTTGGAATGAAATTGTCTTATCTATATCAAACATGAAATAAACTGCTTGCATGATTGATTTAAATCAAGTCAATTTCAATCATGATTTTATCATCCATTAGTAAGTATTTAATTTTAAAAAGTTTATATAAAAATTGATTTTTACTTGTTTTATTTAAATTGGATTTTTTTTTAAAATAAATGCTTATTGACTAGAGAGTTAAATTGTGATTTAAATCAAATTGATTTAAATCAAACCTATCCTGTCTGCTTGATACAATTCTTAGATCAAGGATACAGACTTCTATAATGCTAAAATAAAGCAGAGACCAACAATGTTCCCACTATATTATCCTCTGGGGCCTTATAGTACAGTGGTGCCTCGCAGAACGGTCGCTCCGTAGAGCGACGAATCCGTGCAACGGTGCCGTTTTTGCAATCGCAAAAGCGATCGCAAAACGGCATCTAGATAGGGCACAATTCACAGAGCAAAGGTCGGTAAGCGGGTCGCTTACCGACCATCGCTTTGCGACCCGCCGATCAGCTGGTCAGCGGGTCCAAAATGGCCACCGCGCGACCCCAAAATGGCCGCGCAGAGCATTCTTGCGCCCTTGGTAAGTGAGGGGAGGGCGCGAAAACGCTGCCGGAACAGCTGAAATGGCGCAGCGTTTTCACGCCCTCCCCTCGCTTACCAAGAGCGCGAAAACGCTGCGGCCGGCCATTTCGGCCATTTTGGACCCGCCGGACAGCTGATTGCAGCCATTTTCGTGCCCTCGTTCAGCGAGGGGAGGGCGCGAAACAGGCTGCCAGCCGCCCGGAAGCATCGTTGAACGGTGAGTATTCAGCCCAACTGGAACACATTAAACACTGTTTAATGCGTTCCAATTGGTTTTCTTGCCCCGTTCAACGATGCTTTCACACAGCGAGGGTTAATCCGGAACGGATTAACCTCGCTGTGCGAGGCACCACTGTATCTTCTGGGGCAAACAAAAATAAGCCTATCACATATTTCATGTAACAGCTCTTCAAATATTTAAACATTTATCATATCTCAGTCTTCTCTCTTCCAGGCTAAACAAATCCCACTCCTACAGGCAATTTTCTTATTTCAACCATCCTGGTCACCCTTCTCCAGATACATTTCTTGTCATATTGTCCTTAAACTGTCATACCTAGAACTGAACCCATAGTACAGGTGAGATCTGGCCAAGTATTCCCTACACCTTTCTCATCCAAGACATTAATAAAAATGTCAAAGAATATCAGGCCCAGGACTGAGTCTTGGGGTACCCCAATTTGTTACCTCCTCCAATTTGAGGAGACATTGATAAGCACTCTGAGTATAATTTTGTAACTAACTATGTATTCACAGCTGTTGTTCTATCCAGCCCACACCTGGCTTGCTAATAAGAATATCATGGGGCACTTTGTCAAAGGCTTTGCTGAAGTCAAGATATATTATATCTACAGAATTCTCACCATCTACCAGGGAGGTTATATAATTAAAAAAAAATAGATCAATCTGGCAAGATTTGTTCTTCACAAATCCATGTTTGCTTTTAGTTATTACTGCACTGTTTTCAAGGTGCTTGCAGAATGACTACTTTATAATCTGCTCCTGAATTTTCCCTGGAATTGATGTCAGACTCACTAGTCTGTAATTCCCTGCTTCCTTCTTCTTGGAGGAAAAATCAAGGAAAAACATTGAGGAAAGCTCTCCAAAGATGTCATCCTGGTGCATGACAACACCTTGTCACACAATGCAGGTGAAACAATGACAAAACTGATGTCCTTAGGCAGTGGTGTCGAACTGTGGCCCTCCAGATGTTCTTGGCCTTCAACTATTATCTGTTCCCCAAACACAAAAAACACATAAAGGGACAATTTGGGAGCGTTCTGGAGGCAAGTAATGTTGCAAATGAGTGGTTACACCAGCTATCGGAAGAATTTTATTTGCAGGGATTTTGGAAGCTGCAGGAAACATGTCGCAAGTGCATTGATTTCCTGGGGGAATATGTAGAATAGTGTGGCAGTTACCGCTTCCTAGCTCATTTTTTTTTCTGAGAAAGGCTCAATACTTATCAGCACCCCCTCATACCTGAAGAATGCAATCTCTTGCTTTTAGCATCTCTTGCTAACCACAGTTCGCTCTCAGCCTTTGCCTTCCTAATGCCATCCCAACAATTCTTTGCTGCTTGTTTGTACTTTACCTTTGTTGCCAGGCTTTCCTTCCACTTCCTACATGTGTCCCCTTTTTTGTTTTTGGGTTGTCTCTGAGACATTGGTCTTTTTTGCTGTCTTCCACCCTTTTTTCTTGTTGGAATTTTTTATATACAGTGGTGCCCCATTGCCAGGCTTCCACTTCCTACATGTGTCCCCTTTTTTGTTTTTGGGTTGTCTCTGAGACATTGGTCTTTTTTGCTGTCTTCCACCCTTTTTTCTTGTTGGAATTTTTTATATACAGTGGAGTGGTGCGCCTCCATAGCCATTTTCGCCACCTCGGTAAGCGAGGCGCGAAACAGGCAGCCATTTTGGAACCACCGATCAGCTGGGCGGCGGGCTCTTGGGAAGGAGTGCGGGGACCTCCTCCACTCTACTCTCCAAGCACCGGCCGGCCTTTCCCCGCAGCTGGGCGGTGGGCTCTTGGGAAGGAGTGCAGGGACCTCCTCCACTCTCCTTCCCAAGCGCTGGCCAGCCTTTCCCCCCAGCTGGCCAGCGGGCACTCAGGAAGGAGTGCAGGGACCTCCTCCACCCTCCTTCCCAAG